ATATTTTAAAATATAAATACTAGGTAAATGTTTATATTTTAATATTAAAAAATAAAAGATATTACATTAAAGTCACATAAATAAAACAATTTAAATTAAATCTTATGTCAAACCACTTCATTTTTTATATTTTTATATAACTTTAATTTCATAATTAGTTTAAGATTGATGATTAAAAATTATTTATTTATATTTTTAAACATAAATACTAAACAAATGTTTTATTTTAATATTAAAAAAATAAAATATACTATATTTAAGTCATATAAATAAGATAATTAAATTAAAAACTTATGCCAAATAATCATCTTGATTGATTTTCCATTAATGATGAAGTTATGGAATCTACTATATTTAAGTCATATAAATAAGATAATTAAATTAAAACTTAAGTTAAATTCCTTTTTTTGTCTTTTTTTTATTGAAATTACATAAAAAATTCTTTTGATAAAAATCAATAACATAATTACATTTTTTATCTAATATAATCTTAAATATCATTTAATTACATAATTATCATTATATATATATTTTTTAAATGTTATTGTTTGATCAGAGTACTTGTTTTATTTTCCCCCTTTTTCCTTCGGTTGTTTTTTTCCCTTTTTTTTCAATTTTCATTTTTTTTACCTCTACGTTCGCTGGCGAACCCAGCACCACCTGGGTTTGCCCCTGAGAACCCATCACCTGGGTTCGTTGGGTTCGTGGTGAACCCAACGCCTAGGTTTTTGATTTTTTTTTTTTTTATGGTAATTGGATGAGGAAGAAGATGGTTGGATGTTGGGTGAGGAAGAAGATGGTTAAGAAGATGGGAAGAAACACATCAACCTGGGTTGCGCGAGAAAGGAACAGTAGGATGTTATAACTGGAACCTATATATACTAGTTTTTTTGCAAATAGAAGCAAATGTGAGGATAAAATAGGAAGAGTAAGTAAAATTCATTAAACCAAAAAGTAGAAGTTGCCACATCAGCACGAAATTCGTGAGTAAAGGTGCAAATAAGGATTCAAATTTTGCACTTTTTTCTATTTAAGAATGTTAACTTTGTCATTTTTTAAATAAAGATGTCAACTTTCAATTTTTTCTTTATTTAAGGATGCCAACTTTCAACTTTTTCTATTTAAGGATGTCAACTTTCAATTTTTTCTATTTAATGATTAATTGGTGGTAATGCTGACATCGGCTAACATATTTTTTTAGGTTAAATACCTAAATTGGTCCCTCAACTTTTATTTTTTAACTAATTCATCCTTGAACTTCAGAAAGTATCAAAAACGTCATTCAATTTCAATTTTCAATAAATAAAATTATTTCTTAATTCATGGAAGAATTAATTAACTTTTATTTAATTTTATTAAATGGTAGGTAGGACTAATTAAATGGGAAAATATATTAATTGTTTTAATTTTTAAATATAAATAAAGTAAAATTAAGAGTTAAAGTAGTTTTTAAATTATTTAAAATTAAAAAAATCCACATAATCATTTTTTACATGATGGATTTTCCACCTAATATTGAAAATGTAAAATAGTTAATCATTTAGCGAAAAAATTAGCTACATCAACATTTAACTGACGGAAAGACGAAATTGAAAATTGAAGTTGAAGGATGTTTTTGGTACTTTCTGAAGTTTAAGGATGAATTGGTTCAAAAATAAAAGTTGAGGGACCAATTTAGATATTTAACCTAAAAAAAATATGTTAGTTGACGTAAGCATCACCATCAATTAATCCTTAAATAGAAAAAATTGAAAATTGACATCCTTAAATAGAAAAAAATTGAAAGTTAACATCTTTATTTAAAAAATAACAAAGTTAATATCCTTAAATACAAAAATGTACAAAGTTAAAATCCTTATTTGCACCTGTACTCCGAAATTCGTACTTCTCAAAATTGCATTAAAATGGGAGAAGATGAGCTTTTGAGAACGACTTGTGTTTTTCACAAGCACTGGTGTTTGGTGCAGCTGGTGCTTTTAGGCCCGAAAAAACCTTCCCACCAGCTATACCCAACACACTCATAATTTTAAAAGTTGGGCTAGAAAAGCACTAAAACAAAGTAGCTGATAGGGCTGAGCATCAAGTACCGGAATAGCTTATATGTGTAGGTACTTGATTTGTTTAACTAGATATTTTATTTATATTTGTGAAGAAACAAGTAAATATCGAATATGAAAAATGTATATTTATTAAATATAAAATAAATATCGAGTATGAGAGTCAATATCTGTATACTTAACTTATATATCTAACTCATATACCTTATTTAAATTTTAGTTTTATATGTTTAATTTGTAATAGAATGATATGAAATCAAAATGTTTATGTTTTATTTTTCTTCTAAGAGTGAAGATTCAATTAAAGGAAAATCACGTAGATTTTTGTTTCTATTTCTTTTATTATTGTATATATTTTTGTATATGTGTAAGTATATATATTCATGTATTTTATTTTATATATAAACTTGTATTATATATATGAATTTGTAGTTATATATTAATTTATGTATTTT